AGGTCCTGTGTTTCATCCCTCATGTCAGTGATGCAGGACAACAGAATACAACCAATGGACAAACACACAGTTCGAACAACAACCAACATTCAACTATGGACACTGAAGATGCCCAAATCAACCATCATTACGAACACCCGTATAACGCGGCACCAAGAGGAACAACAGACCAACCAACTGTTGTTTATGATTCTTTAAATACACGAGGACAAACTGGTTATTAAAATATGGGTAACATCAACACAGTTAGCAGTTAAATAAAACCGTTCAGTGGGGGTTGGGTAGTAGTACAATCTTCATTATGGATACATGACGATTCTATAGTCACTGGATACAAGTCATGGATGAACACAAGTACGATATTACAGCTTAGATATACATAATTACAGCTTAAACATAACATATTTATAGCTTTAATATACATAATACTAGATTCGATATACATAGTTACAGCTTAAACATACATATTTATAGCTTTAATATACATAATACTAGATTACAGCGTCAATATACATAAATGTAGCTTCACTGTGTATAATTATAGCTTCATTATACAGAATAATGCCTGTTTAGTGTTTAGCACCTTGCCCGCCGCCCATATGCTGCTTGGGTTAAGGTGTTAGTGCCTTCCCATCCGCCCATATGAATATAATACCGCGACAAATAACGATAGAACAAACTGCTGGATTCTACGGCTACATATCAAAACATATACGACTATAAACTACAAACGTGAATGAAACGGGGTTTAAAGTTCTACTTTTCTGTGCTAATGAAGACGAGATATAGTAACAACTTTGCCCGGACAGCGGCGCTATACGGTCAACTCTTCTGTTAGTTCTTTTAGATACACGCCAACGTGTATACCGTGCCTCCTTTTTTTGTCTTATCCGACCGACTGTCCTTGTCAGACCTATCGTCTTTCACCTATGACAAGGAGAAACCACACTGCCCCCCCCCCCCCGAGGAACATTCTCGGCCAACACCAGTGCCACCGTGGCCTCCAGCTAGTTTCATTATATAGAATTATATAGTTGACGATAATAACATAATTTAAGTTAGGTATACTTGTCTTAACTGCTGACTAATAGAAATGAAATGAAATGGGGTTTAACGTCCTACTGTTCTACTCCTAAACTTTGTCCGGCCAGCGGCGCTACGGCCTGCTCTTATATCGAATTTCAACTGCCAAGGGATCTGTTACGTGCACGCAATATGTACACGGGACTTCGGTTTTTCGTCACATCCGAACGACTAGACAGCTGTCCATGTCAGACCCGCCGTCCTCAATCACTGACAATGGGAAACCACGCCGGAAAATCTGGATGAACTTTCTCGGCCAATGCAGATATCGAACACCCGACCTCCGGGCTAGCGAGCCAACGTCTTACCCACTTAGCCACGTGATCGCGCTGACACCCAATTCAATGTAAGTTATATAATATAGTGTCTACAATAAAGATATATATGTATATAAGATATTGTACTTATACAATATATATGTGAATAACATAATGTGTTTTTATATGCACATTTCTAAATTTCAAATTTTGTAGTTTTATAAACTACTACTTTGGTCAATACATCCATTTTACGTTACTTCAATTGTTGTAATTATTTATATAATATGTTTGTAAAAGAGTACGTTATTAAATAGCTGACAACAATCATGGTCATGTGTACTCCAAGTACTACCATTTGTAATATAAAATGACCCTTGTCGGAAGTAGATTATATTAAAGTTACAATTTCATATTTTCTAAGAAAGTCAAAACATAATTATTTCTATGTCTTTTGCTCAAAGGGTTGTCAACTCCCTTTTTTTCGATCACAGTTTATCTTTCTCACACTTAAACATCTTCACACCGGAAATAATAACACAATTACCTCCCAATTACCTCCCTTGTTTTCCTATTCCCCACCATGGAATAGCTATCTTCAAACGTTTGAATTTGAATTTGAAAATGATATTTTTTCCAGTTTCTCAACTGGCAATAGTGAATTAAAGGATTAATAGGATTATTCTTTAACAAGGTAGGACTGTTTATAGATACCATCTATTTTAGGGCTTTATTTTAATACATTTTAAAAATATGAAATTGTAACTTTAATTAGACCATTTACGTTACTTCAGTTTTTGTAATTATGTGTATATAGTTGTAAAGGAGAAAAATAATTATTTATATATGTTTGTAAAAGAGAACAATGATACCAATCAGTAATTATTTGTATATGTTTGTAAAAGAGTACGTTATTAGATAAATGACAACAATCAGTAATTGTTTATGGTCATGCGTACTGCAACTACTACCATTTATAATAAAAAAAATGACCCCTGAATAATATCGTATCACCAGACAATACGTCACTATATCAGCCATTTTCCAGAGCACGTTATTTGGAAATGTACCTCCCATATACAGACACCAATCGTAAGCAATGACAATAATATCTCTCCCCCCCCCTCTCTCTCTCTCTCTATGTTACCACAATAACACGTTCAACAATATGCTGGAATGACCCTTATACACCAAAACAGCACGACATATTCTTAGGCTTGATAAAGTTACAGTTTGACGTCTTATCCCAAGGAGCTGACAATCCATCCGGCCCCACTGGCAAGAGAAAACCACAATAGAAAATCCACGAGGAACTTTTTATTTGGCCATCACCGGGATTGAAATCCAGATTTGACGATTAGTGAACCTCCACAAATTTATTGATGCATATAGGTTTTTTTATCCTACAGAGTGCGTATTGACACACATTGTATGACATAGCGTTTGGTTTACACGGTTAATAACTTTTATGTGATCAGCAATTGCCGATCTTGTCGTTATATGAAATCGGGTTTAGCTTGATACGTGGGTTGTTTGTCAAACGGGGATTCGTTTACGTGCACGCCAACGTGTAAACTGGTCCGCGGGTGTTCATCCCATCCAAACGACTCGACGCCCTCCCTTGTCAGACCCTGCATCATGCACCACATGCATGGGGAAAGCGCGTTGTAAAATCACCAGGAACTTTGTCGGGTTCGAACCGGTGGTTCCTGGTTAACTTGCCAGTTATTTTATCACAGAACCTTATATGCCCCTCCCCCCTTGCCATTAAATGCATCATGTCTATAGTTTGTTCGTGAGTATTCCGTATAACAACATTATATGGACTGATATATTTGTGAATATTCCATATAAAAATATTTGTATTGATATGAGTTTTTAATATAAAAAATATTATATGTACTGCTATGAGTTTTTAAAATAGTCGTGAATTTTCCATTTAAAAATATTTTATGTATTGATATGAGTTTTTAATATAAAAAATATCATATGTACTGCTATAAGTTTTTAAAATAGTCGTGAATTTTCCATTTAAAAATATTATATGTATTTATATGAGTTTTTAATATAAAAAAATATATGTACTGATAAGAGTTTTTTTTAAATATTTGTGAATTTTCCATATAAAAATATTATATGTTTTGATATGAGTTTTTAATATAAAAAAAAATATTATATGTACTAATATGAATTTTTAATATATTCGTGAATTTTCCATATTAAAATAATATATGTACTGTTAAACCCGTGAGTTTTTATATAAAAATATTATATGTACTGATATATTCGTGAGTTTTCTATATAAAAATATTATATGTACTGATAAATCCGTGAGTTTTCCATATTAACAGGCGGCGGAGTGGGGGGGGGAGGGCCAGACCCCCCCCCCCCAATAATTTGTCCGCAAGAGATAGTGACCAAAAAGCTGTAATATATGTCATTAAATTTACTTTGAGTTATTCATTCTCATGTTGTCTTTATGCACTGTTAATTTTGGTTTCATTGTTTAATATTAAAGGGACTATCCTAATTTGAACAGAGTCTCAAAAATAAAAGTCTCAGTACGTATGAAATTTAAGCGCCAAAATATGGTATATTTAACTCGTCTCAAAATTGCAGCTCAAAATATCGAGTCGTTTGGACGTGAACGCGAAAACTGCTTATCCGGACACGTAACCTTTTTAAGATTTCGGGTCAATTTTTTCGTTGGGTGACCGGATAATCTATTCCCGTTCCTTTAGAGGTTAATACAATGAATGACCCATATGCTGTACATACACATTTTTTTATAAAATAAAAGTCTGATTTTATCCAGACACCACATAATACAGCTTGGGACACCAGGCTCCATTTCCGGATGACGACTGACGGGTTTAAGTTGTTTGAAAATGTGTCACATATATTGAGTTAGTTGCTCGACCCTAAGGTAGAGGATTTTAAAGGATATTAACGAAAAATTAAGCAGTTTTATTTATTAAAATATTATCGGGATTGGCCCTTTAAAACTTTATTGGACTAGATAATACTATTTCAATAGCTTTGAAGGGTGTCCGGGTTTGTGATAAAACTAGTAGATTGTTATGACGGATATGACGGAGAGAGAGAGAGGGGGGGGGGGATTTAAGGTACACTCGACACGAACTAGGTTATTACTTGACTAACAAATGGTTCAATTTTATTTCAATAATTCGCTTGCGAGGAGGGGTCTTTTCCAGTTGGAGGAAACAGGAGAACCCGGAGAAAACCCATGAGGTTGGACAAGCGACCCCACTCCTTGTCACGTACAAACGGGTAATCGAAACCACGCCAGTTGACTTAATGACAGACCTTATGATACAGCACGCACGTGCTAATCATTCAGTTCCCCACACGTACCATACCTAAATAACAGACGCTATGATAAAATAAATCGCACACGTTAGACAACTCGACCACCCAACTCCTATTTATAAACACACGTCATATATGCACTTATATAAATAATACGTGTTTATCTACGTCAATAACCTATATATTGTGAATTCATTGATCTATATCTATGTGTGCTTTTTCCGCTTAACTGCTTTCCAAAGTATATAATATAATTGTTTTGGTCGTATAAGAAACCACCATTAACGCGTTCATTGGTCAACGTCATCTCCTTAACAACCAATGATCACGTTATCTATTGTACCAGCCTGATGTATATAACATTCAGTAATAAATAAAATTATTATTTGCTAAGACTTCTCCGAATTTATTTAATTATCTAGCGAGATCCTGTCGAAATGGCACCACCCAAATCCAACCTTTCAGTAAAACCACAAAATGTTGAGGTAAGATTTTTTATTTCTTTTAAAAAATGTATTTGTCATTTTTAATGGTTTTCAAATTGGTAGAAACAAAAAAAATATTGAAGAAGTATTTTAATTTATAAATTAGATCGACCAAGACATTTTTATATCATCGATTAAACCTCTGATCGTTCATTTCGTCAGGATTTGTTTTCAGTTAACCTGGCAACGATGTGTTGTAATTTTTAAAAAAATGCAATGGGGTTTAACGTTCGACTGTTCTACTCCGACGACCTACTCTTACATCGAATGGGGATCACGTGGCTAAGTTGGTAAGACGCTGGCTCGCTAGCCTGGAGGTCGGGTGTTCGATCCCTGCATTGGCCGAGAAAGTTCATCCAGATTTTCCTGTGTGGTTCCCCCTTGTCAGTGATGCAGGACGGAGGGACTGATAAGGCCAGCTGTCTAGTTCTTTGGGTGAGACGAAAAACCGAGGTCCCGTGTATACATTGGAATGCACGTAAAAGATCCCTTGACAGTTGGAATTCGATATAAGAGTAGGCGATAGTGCCGCTGCCCGGGCAACATTTCCCTCATAGCCCAGCATAGGAGCAGAACAGTAGGACGTTAAACCCCATTTCATTTCATTTCATTTCTTACATCGAATTCCAACTATCTTTAACGTACACGATGTTCCTTGCCAGGTAATGTCCGACATGAATGACAAGCATGAATCACGCCGGAAAATCCGGATTAATATTCTCGGTCAACACCAAAACCGAAAGAGGGACCTGCATGTTGCGAGACAACATCTCTTACACACTGAGCCACCGCAAATCCAGTCACCCTTCCGGTTACTTGAAGGTGCCGAATAAAAACATGTTTTTTTTTTATTCTTATTTAGGTTGCAGTAACCAATATTCCAGAACCAAAACCAACAACCCACCGAAATAAAATTATTTGCCTAGTGGCTGTGTTCGTGGCCCTATTGATTGTTGGTATTATAATATTCGGTGGTGTACATTTATACAACCACTTACACAAGAAAGACGTAAGTTTAACAATGTTCTTGAGCCATGGCTTCATTTGTAGTACAAGTTTATGTTTTCCATTTTGCAATTGGTTCCACTTTCCCAATAATAGGCACTATTTATTATTATTGATTTTACCAAAAACAAAGAAAAGAAAATAATCTATTTAAAGATGCGTTATGTAAGATAAAGTTCTGACCGTTATTGCTATAATAATTTAAAACAGAAATATATTGAAAATTTAATTCAAATTAATCAGTTTTTAACAAAACTAATATGTTTGAAGATGAAGCGTATGTCGTTTATTATCGTTGAAGTGGTGCTTAGCAGTATTTTTTTCTTTGTTAAATCTTTCGAGTGTTTTAACCCATTTTATCTCAGCTATCCGATATCTAGAGGGTTGCCTACATAAGATATAATATTTTAAAACAGACGGGTGGGGCGGGGGCGAATAGTTAACGCGTGTACGGTGTATGAGACGGTCTGTCATTGAGTCGATTGGCGTAGTGACAAGGAGTAGGGTCCCCTGTCCAACCTCGTGAGTTTTCTCCGGGTCACCCGGTTTCCTCTCACTGCTACAAACCCCTACGCGCAAGCGAATTATTGAAATACAACTGAATTATATGCAAGTCCCCAAATGACCTAGTTTGTGTCGAGTGGACGTTAAACCCCATTTCTCTTTCTCTCTCTTGAAAACACAAAATACCTGCAATAGGCCGATTTAGCTCTAACATAATGCATCTTTATAAATTAAACAAACAATTAAATAGGAAATGTCTGATGTTACGTGTATGTCATATATACGATCATTACCTTGTATTTCTTTAAAGTGTTATAGATAGTGAAATTTTCGGAATAGATAATTTACACTAATATACAAAACCTTTGTGAAAGCGTTAGCCGCCATAGCTACCAAACATTATACAGTAGACAGTGTGAGTTAATTGATAAAATGTAATTAAGATATGTTTTATTTCAGAAATTTGATTCTATCTCCAAAGTTCATGGGAGAAAAATACCAGAGCACATACAAGTAGACTACGATAATAAGATAATATATGCTAGTAATGATGAAGATGGAGAGATTGATGGATTGATTGCTCTACACAACTACGATAAGGTATGTATCTAATATGGATGTACATGTTATTGAACTCCGTGTGAGGAAGAACAATTAATATGGCATGTTGAAATCATCCTAACCATTTGTCTGAAAATGCACTTTGCGGAAGTTGGTCAAGGATTGTCAACAGCTGGATTTCGTATAGAAAATGAGAATCAAGCCTAAATTAATGTTTTCATGTCCCCTCCTGGAAATTAATGCGTGCTTTGTAATAATTAGTAAGCCAACGCGACAGATTGTTATTACGTTTAGGTGTTTACATATATTTTGCCGTGGATGGTATTTTCAAAACGGGCAAGGTTGTGACTTTGAAACACGCATATAATGCAGAGATAAAATGTAAATCTGGGAACACGTCTAGCTCGTTAGCGTCCAAATATATATTTAAAACATTTGCTGACGCTAGGAACGTTAAATCAATGGTTGATGCCAGTGGAATTAAATATCTTCTCACAGTCTACCAGGCCATTTAAACATAATTTGTTTTTCTTTATTTAGAAAATGTTGGCTTTCAAAGATTTAACCAATGGTCGTTGTTATATTGATGTATTGGATGAAACATTTGAAGAGGGTCTGACATTTTGGTCTGCTCAAGAGGTAATGAAAATGTCTTCAATTCTGATTTGACCACTGCATGTATTTAGATATTTAAAATATTTATATTCCTTTCTTTCTTTTTCGTATTTTTATACTTTTAACGACACAATAAGATAACCCCAGTGTCCTTGAAGACATTATAACGCTCTATTAAACACTTTATTTAACGTGTGAATTTTAAATTCAAAGTAGATCAAGTTTGTGATAAGTCATTGGTTTGTAAAAAAAAAGAAATAAAGAACTGAAATATATTTTATGTTCATAATTGAATAACGTTGCCTGAGGTAAATATAATTAAAAACCAGTCAGGTAATGAAATTTGAATTTTAACTGCGAAGTAGATCCAGTTTGTGATATTTTTATATAAAAAAAGAAGAGTTGACTTGTTTATTTTCAGACATCAATAACAATCAACGGTACGCCTGAGGTAATTTAAAGTGGGTATGACGCTGGTTCGCTTGCCCGGAGGATGCATGTTCGATCTATGCATTTTCCGAGAAGTTCATGGGGGTTTCCCCTTGTCAATGGCGCAGGACGGAGGGCCTGACAAGGACAGCTGTCTAGTCGTTCAGATAGGACGAAAATTGTGGCCCCGTGAATACCTTGGTATGGACGTAAAAGATTCCTTGACAGTCGGAATTCGATATAAGAATAGGCCAGAGTACAGCTGCAGGGGCAAAATTTCCCCCATAGCACACTGTATGGCGTACGGCCGTCTTCGTTAGCTCAGTATAGGTGCAGAACAGTAGGACGTTAATCCCATTTGATTTCATTCCTTCATATCATATTGTTTTTAACACCAACCGGGCTATTGAAGACGGACATAGCCTTGCAGTATAGCATGAGAGTAAGGTTGGAAGAATATCCTGATCTTATCTCAAATTCCAACAGCCAAGGGTTATTTTACGTACACATTCTGTCCGGCACCAATGACAAGGGGGAAACACCACCGACAAGGGGGGGGGGGGGCACTGACAAGGGGGGACACCACTGACAAACGGGTAACACAATGACAAGGGGGAAACACTACTGACAAGGGGTAAAAAAAACACCGACAAGGGGGGAAACGCCACTGGCAAGGGGGGTGGGGCACCACTAACAAGGGGTAAAAAAACACCGACAAGGGAGAAACACCAATGACAAGGGGCAAACACCACCCACAAGGGGGAAACACCACTCCAAAGGGGGAAACCACGCTGACAAGGGGTAAAAAACAATGACAAGGGTGAAACTACGCTGGAAAATCCCAGGAAACTGTATTGGAATGGAAGCCCGGATTTTCTGGGTAGTGAGCCAGAGAACCGAGATGTTAAATTTATAAAATAATACCACTCCTGTTAGTGGGTGAGCTGATTCTAAAGTCCAGTCAATTTTTCTTTTTACAGGGAAAAGAACGATCTTTGGTCACCAGATATTTCCGCTACATCCGAGAACCAATTGACCTTGATGTGTTGAGAACATTTGCAGGTCAACATATTGCTGACCATTGTGCTGGTGTACCATCTCATTGGATTGTTGTCATCAGTAAAGAAGGTAAGATTGGTTCTGAATCCCCACCACTTTAAGCCTGTTGGGTGGGTCTCTAGCACTTTAATCGTTTGTATGTTTACATTGTTATTTTGGTATATTTGATTTAAAACACGAGAGGATAACCTCAGGTTCAAGCACCAAACATGGCGCATTTGATAATTAGTGGTGCTTTATCTAATATTGTTGTATTTTTAAAACTTTCATCATGTTAAAATCCCAATACTGTCTATATAGACATATTTTGCAATAAGTAGACAGTGTATAAGAAGTAATTGTCCATCTCAATTCATATATGAACAAATTAACGCATTGTGTTACCGCAGTGTATGTAAGTTTTAACAGGTTGTATATCCCGGATTTAGAAAATCAATTTACTATTGTGGAGACGATCCAAAGACTCAATTCACTATTGTGGAGACGATCCCTTTACCTATCGGAAACACATACAACCCTTCTGCACTACCAGATAATTGATTTATTGTTGTCAAGATTTTTATCTTCTTTTAATGGATTTTCTTATATTTGATTTACCTAACACACACGATATTGATACTGCGGCAACGTTGATACATTAAGCCCTAAACAAAATAACGAAGATCGTATCCTATTTTTTAAGAATTCTGAAAACGTGAAAGTCTGTTAATAGACAGTCCCTAACTCAACTAAAATGTCATTTTGGATTTGGATTAGTTGATAAATGTACATCATGGTTTGAATTATGTATGTGTGACACACTGGACTTTAAATACCTATGTATTTTACGTAAAATTTGTCAATTTTAGAAGCTGAAAAGCAAAAACAATCAGCTAATGGAAAAACGGTACAGTTTATCTGTAGACCAAACATTGAATGTCCTGAATGTCCACCAGATGAAGTCCCTGTTACAACAACAGTAAAACCAAGGAAAACAATAAAACCAGTTTTCGATGGACAGGCAATGGCATAAAACCGACACTAGAAACCCTTTAAATATTTCTATTTGTAAGAGTTAATCTAAATAATATATCAATTATATGTAGTGAAACCCTATCTCTCTTTGAATTATTTAATTTTGTATTTTTAAAATCTTTTATTGTAAAGTTTTCTTTTGTTTCTGCTATTGCAAATATTGTTTTTGTACTATGATGATAGTTTTATATTAAACAAGTGTCCCTGTAGAATTATTTGTAGTGTTGTCCAGATGAGACAACAAACCGAACCCGGTGTACACGGTGACTTGTACGTAAAAGATCCCTCGAAAGTTTAAATTCAATAGAACAGTAACTTTATTACTATTAGCAAATAATAATCATTTGCACGTCTATTTGTATATAGAGTTAATCTTTCCGGAACGAACTTCTGGCGTTAATGAAAACAACTCTAAACCATAGAAGTCTGATCTATTCGTATATTATATGCATACACCATACCCGTCTAGACAATATACAATAAAAAGGAACAGGAATACAATGTCTGCTAAAGCCTCTATTTTACCTGCTCTCGCTTCGGGTCATTTTGTCAACAATTCTTAATTTCGGGCAATCTAACTTCTGCCGTTTCACTCAGGTATGTTTTTTTTTTCTGTGGACGTTTTGATTTGCATAAATACTCCCTACAAAACTAAATCATAGCTACTTATTTCCAATATTTACATTATTTTTTTTCCGTTAACAGTTGTCACCACCACCTTACACTGACGCAACACAAAAACGATCCGCAGTGAATAGAACATCAAAGCAAGGGCCAAAGTTATTTTTCTCTCCCTTTCCCTTTCCCCCTTTGCATAGCGATCTTTGTTGACTTTTATGTGGAGCATCGACGAAAAGGGTTTGATTATTTTCTGCCAAGTTTTGGAAAATATTCAGGATTTTGAGGCGGAAAGATACGAGAGTGAAGAGACTGCTTATGTTTTATGTGACGTCAGTGCGTGGTGCTGATGACAGTTTAATTGTTTATTTTCTTTTAAATGCTGATTCATTGAATTATGTTAATAATTTCATTTATCCTAGATTTGGGGGAGTTTACTGGTTACGCTCCAGCTTATCTCTGTTTAAATGTAAAAAGGTCCCTCTCCCCAATATGTATAGCAGTACTGTGAGTTACTTCCCTTATCTTAAATGGCGATGTAGCGTACGTTAATTTATTTAACTCAATACATTTCCTAGTCATAATCCGTTCCGTAATATTACATGTACATGTCAATTTTCAATCTTGTACCAATCCGTATTTTAGATAGTCAATAAAGAAATCTCCGTGAAAGGCATCGAGGCAAGATCAGTGTCTCAGGGTCATCTTTAACTGACAATTTGAACGCATTTAATAATATATATATTAAACGAAGAGTATTTTATTCCTAACCTTAGTACTGCAACATCAAGAATAAAATTTGCTCAACGTAGTTACAGGTCCCGTGTACACATTGGCGGATAGGCGTACGAGCCAGGGGTGCAAGCCCCCCCCCCCCCCCCCCACTTTCGGGCAAGCTGACTTTTCGGGCAGACGGGTAAAGTGAAAACAAATTTTTTATTTCATTCACTTGGCAAAATAAAGTGCCCCAAATCTAATAAAACACTAATTTTATGGGCTGGAATAACAGTAAAACGCGTTTGCGGCCTTCAAATATTTCAAAATTTTCTTGGTGGATCCATACAAGGTCAGCTCTGCTTCTTTGCCTCTCGAAGAAAACCGGCCCCGCTGTCTGTAAACCTGAATTTTTTTCTGGCATTTCTAGTTTTGCTTCCCTAACTGTTACCGAGCCCTAATATAACACTAATTTTACTTTTCTTTTAATTGAATACCACGAATTTGTACTGCGTTGACTATGGATTAAAACATTTTGTCTGGAGCCACTCTACTTTGTGCGACATTTTTCGGGCATCGATTATTATGTGTGAATGCAGCTGCAACAGTCTGATTGGATGTTTGGAATTCAGAATGGGATTTCAGTTACTAAACCATTGGATACTTTTGCAGTTGCTTACACGGGCTAGAATAGCAGAAAACGCATTTGCGGTGGTTAAATTTCCATAATTTTCTCCGGGAGGGTGAGGCCCCCATACCCGCGACGATTGATTGGTTGTTTGGAATTCGGGTTAGCCAGGTAGGCTATATTGGACCAAATTGAAGTTGCTGTATTCACAGGTTGGAATAGCAGGAAAACGCGTTTGCGGCAGTTAAATTTTCTAAATTTTCGCCCAACGGTCCCGTCTCCGTGGACTGTAAGTGGTTTATTGGAATTCGAGTCAGCTACCTTAATTAGACTATATCAGACCACTTTGAAGTTGCTTTGTTTACGGGCTGAAATAGCAGGAAAACGTGTTTGCAGCTGTCAACTATTCAAACATTTTTTTTTTGGGGGGGGGGGGGATGTGGGTTGGAGGTGGACTGGGGTGGGGGTTGGTCTATACCATGTAAGCTACGCTTCTTCGCCTCTTGAGGAACACCGGTGCCGCTGTCTGTAAACCCAAAATTTTTTCAGGCATTTCGGGTTCTGTCCCCCCCCCCCCAACTGTCATTGAGCCCGTACGTCTATGCATTGGGGGCGTACACATAAATGATCCCTTGGCAGTTGGAGTTCGGTATAAAAGTAGGCTTTAGCACCGCTGTCCGGGCAGAATTGCCCTCACAGTACACTGCATGACGTATGCCCGTCTTTATTATCCCAGTCGGAACAGAACAGTAGGACATTAAACCCCATTGCATTTCATTCGTTCAAAGTTGTTTTAGTTGTGTTATTAGCTCCAGAAAACAACCCAGAGTCATTCTACCACAAGCCCCGTAATACTTAAAAAAATACATGGTTTAATAAGAATTGTGTTTATCCTAGAAATGAATTTATAAAGAATGCAAATATTTTATTGAAGCAGAAACTGACCACAGCCGAGCTTATATAAATATACCCCTATTTAAAAAAAGCATGCTACCATATTGTACAGATACAGGTCTGGTCTAAAGTTATATAAAAATGCTACAGCCCTATAGGATTCTGGAGAAACATGCAACTTTATAAAAAAAATGGTATAGATGCACCACAGCATTCCTCCCAGCTGAATCTGTCTGATTTCAATGAACATAAATTTTAAGAATGTTTTTCAATCTCATGGCACTTCATTTATAAATGAAAAAAAAAACCTATATTTATATACTATATCATAATGGCGTCCCCTACCTTGATAATGAAATTACAGTTTCAGAAATACAGATAGCAATGTCTATACTAAAGGCAGGCAAACGCGCTGAAAAAGGTGATATTATTCCAGAAATAGTTAAAACACTTTGTTTATAGTTTGTGTGTACCAACGTACCGGATCATAATTAACCCTCGATGCCATCTTATGTATTCGATTTTCACTGGGTTTGAATTCGATCTGCTACTCAACGCTCATTGATGAATAAATGCAAAAATGGATAATCGAGACTATGTTTGGGTTTTTTTATCGTACCGAGTTTAGCAATACTAATCAAGGGTAGGCCTAACATTCAGCCGCTAATATCTCGGTTCAGAGTGGAGCAATTTGACTGAAATTGTCAGCATGTTCCCTTTACATTATCTAGTTTTTAACTATTATCGTTATCTAATCATCCATAATGCCCTTATAAACAATCGACATTAAAACAAAACGGAATTAAATCATTTAATATAGAAATATCTGTAAAATCGGAGGGAACATATGCCATCAGAAATCGATAGAAATATATCAACTCTTTATTTTGATGTAAGTATTATATATTGATAAATTTAAAGTTTTCTAAACAATATTTTTATTCAGGATATCTAATTGGGAATGGGGGGACAGATTTAGCCTATGTACAACCCCTCTCCGTTAACATTATTGGTTAACTTTAATATTTTTTAGCTGGAAATTGTAGATCAGTCGGTTACATTTTCATTTCACAAATAAAAGGAAACAGATCAATATCACAATTTATATCATCATATATGAAATCAGGTTTCCTCAACTTTACTGATAGACAGTTCTCTATATCACCAGGGCCATTTAGTTTTATTTCCAATTTACCAAAAGTATTTACTGGTGTGCCATCATTCCATTGAAAAATGCCCTCTTCAGCGTCATCATTGGCACCAATTGCTACATTTGTAAGATCTTTTCCTGAAAAATAAAACAACAATTGCGTAAGTGGCATTATGTAACATTTAGGTAAAGAGTTAGCTATAGTTCGAAAACAGATAATGTAAAATTAAAAAATTGAAACTTTCATTCAAATTACTTTACTGCGAACGAAGTTATTAGCCTTTGAAGGTTTGACAAGATGTGTGCAATAATTTCAACGACTGTACTGGTTGTTCGAAGCTAAGTCTCGCTCCTCCATTTTTAACTTAAATTAAAATATGGCTGAATCGTCCTAATCTATTTAATATCGGAGAAAACTGATGCCATCGAGAGTTGATTATGGCCTGGATCAGTTAATTAATGTCTAATTAATAATTAAGAAAATATTTCAGGCTGAAAGAAAGACCTGCTATAGGCAGATTTAGCTCTTGCATAATGTATGTTTAAATTAATGATTTAAACCAGTTTTACATTTTAGTGTCAATATGATTAACCCTATAGCTACTCAACAATTGTTTTCTCACAACTCCAGCATCTTTCCCACAGCCCAGTACGACATGAATTCCAAATAGTCAGTCAATAAACTTAACGTTCAATGGAATTAATTAACATCTTTTTTGATTGGTTTCAAACCGAATGTGTTAGCATGTTGCTTGGGAGCCGGGTTCGAATACTTAAAATTTTCAAATACTGTTGACTTCTCCCAATGCTACTACAGTATTTAAATTTGGGGTAATGAGTATTTGGATTTGTTCAACGGAACAATATTAAACGACCAAAGGTATGCAGTTTCATATCACATTTGGTATAAATGCAATCTAATTAAAATATAGATCTATATTTCGTATCGTTTGTTTATGCTTTAAATTCGATGGCCTACACTACATGAAGATCTGACCGGTTATAGCGATAGGTCGCGTCAGAGGTCATACGAGCGGCCTTTGACTCGATGAAGTCAGTCATGTGTTTAACCAATCAACGTTGATGTTACTAGTGGATTACTAACAGTCCCGTGCAGACAACGCCGAAAGCTCGCCGTAACAGATCGTTTCATTGGCTAATTCCTCAAGCCATTCAAAACGTGTCAATGATAACAACTCTTCCGGATCCTAGTGTAGTGAAGACAAGTAAAACGAAATGGGATCTGTGTTTTATTTAGAATGGTATAAATGTTGATTTTAAGGTATCATCTATAATATCACGATTCTGCAAAGTGAAATGAAATGTGGTTTAACGTCGTGCCTGTTCTGCACCGACTGGGCTAATGAAGACGAGTATACGCCATACAGTGTGCTATGAATGACCTTTTACCCGGACAGCGGAACTACGGTCTACTCATATTTGGAATTAGAACTATAAAGGCGCCTTTTTCGTGTGCGCCAAAGGTTACATGAGACCGCTGTTTTCGTCACATCCGAGCGACTGGACACGCCCCCGTGTCGGCCAATACATAGATCGCCTTGTTAGCGAGACAGCACCTGTTTCCATTGAGCCACAGTGGCTCTCATTATATAAGTAACTACAAATAACAAGCGGTTTATAAGGTATGCAATTAGCCTGATCTACCATTTGTGATAAGCAAATCTGAATCATAAAATATTACCGTGCCATTAGAATTGTATTTTAATCAGATTGTGCCGTTGATGTGTTTTTAAGATTAGAATATCTGCATGCGTTATTTTTTATAAGAAACAAAGCTAATTGTAGAACTGCTTTTAGTAATTTAAACAATTTAGCAGTCAAACGTTAAAGCGACAGTATCATAACCTGTAATGTATGGGTTTGACTCGTTAATGAGAACGGTTGAATATCTACGTTCAATTGATCTTGTATTTAATGATGTAATTAATGATAATCAATCAGGCCAGAATTATTTCACTCATTCTGTGCACGGAAGGGTAAAACTATTGGGTTTTTTTGCTTCGCGTTTGCTGGGTAACGAGGTAGACGGTGATTGCGTTTCTGGATTGTTTGTTTGGATAATATATACGTTTAAATCTGTGTGAACATGTGCTTGTGATTCTTGTTTTAATTGGTAAATTACACTGTGTACAATTAGTTCCGGTTGAAAACAGACTCGAAGCTAGTTAACCGACAAATTAGTTCCTAAATCAACGATTTTACTGGAATAGAGAGAGAGAGAGAAAGAGAGAGAGAGAGACACAGACAGATTGGGTTTCACGTCCACCTGACACAAACTAGGTCATTTCGGGACTAACAAATGATTCAATTTTATTTCAATAATGTGCTTGCGGGTAGGGTATTTAGCAGTGGGAGGAAACCTGCAGACCCGGAGAAAACCCACGAGGTTAGACAGACGACCCTACTCCTTGTCACTTACAACCGGGGAATCGAAACCACGTCATTTGACTCAATGGCAGACCTTATGATAAAGCGCGCGCGTGCTAACCATTCGGCCATCCAACCCCACTTTATTTAAATATACATAAATTCTTAAAACTCGCAGGAGATTATATCCATTTAAATATCGGTCATCTAGAGATTTTATTATGGTCTTTTCATGTACATAAATATATAATTATAATTTATAGCATTTGAAGCCCCCCAATAAACAAATCTAGCTCTTCAATAGTAAGTGCAGGGGGACTGCACCACACAAAATTTACACAAAAACAAATACACGGACAAGACACCATACTCAGGAAAACACAAACAGACAAACAATTTAAAAAAGTGGATGGATCCACTGCGCTGTACAGTTCCGGGTCTGTAGTGACACAGACTTCACTCAAATTTGAAAACAATCAGGAAAACAACCCAAAGAAACCATTGTGTAATGCCAGCATGAGTCATGATCTGCTATATCCTACACGAAATACGAATGTAAGCATATGTAGTAAAATGCAACTATACATGTAACCACATCGGTGAAATGTATAAAAAAAAGTAGTCTTAACCTAAATGCTCGAAAAACAATCAAGAAACGTATATTTCGGTAATTTTGAGAAGGGTATTATTATTTTTTCATTTAATAAAATTGGGCTAGGCAAATGATTTAGCATAATATACTAACCCTCTTCTAACAATAGGCTTTCAACACGTTCAAATGAATTGGTGGTGTTTAATATGGCTAGATTACCGCCCCGTGATTCGCAGTAAGTTTTAGCATTGTTCACTTTTCGTAGTTTTTTCTTTAGACAAAAACACCTTCCATCTATTTCATCTTCTATACACGAATCTCTCCGTGAACAAACTGAAAGCAAAATATGGCTTAGCTTTATGGAATATGTAAACAATATGATTTGTTATTCAATGCTTTAACGAAAAAATAATTCCGACTTTTTGTCATGCAACGAAACTGGAATAATATTGCCAGAAGGTCAATGTGAGTAGACAAGTCGTACGTTAAACTTCATTTCATTAATTCGAACAAACAAGTGACATAGTATTTTCCGTCCGCATATAGTTTACTACGATCAAATTCACCCTTTTTATTGTAAATACACATATGTACATTTCTCGCCTATAAGGGTGATTTCTCAGAATATATGTTGATAGACAAGATACCTGCGTACAATATATACAGGGTATGCCAAACGGATAAGTAACCTTTCAGACATAACGATAAATAACATTAATTTAAGTATAACAAGAAAAAGCATGTAATTAAAAGCCTTAAGGTAAGAAATGAAATGGGGTTTAACGTCCTACTGTTAGCATCGACTGGAATACTGAAGATGGAAAAGGTATGAAACTACATAATACGGTGTTGTATATCAATAAGGTATTAACGACAAACAAAAGTAGATCTGATAGAGGGGCAATCAACACTGGACAGAAGCTCTGATTAGAACCTGAGTGCTAGGCTACTAAAACAAAAGAACCCCAAAAGGAGGAAGAATAAAAAATTAGTGTGCATCAAATATCTCACGGCAATTGTGGGCGTTTCTTACCTCTCCAGTATTCCGAGCCAACGCCCGTTGTTGGTTTGTGTATTGGTATGAAACTCTGGGATAGCTCACAGCACTCTTTATTTATAGAGTGGTAGGCGAATGATCGGCACGAGGTTGGTGTATTAAAACAAATTAATGCGCACTGGGTCCGGGTTATGACTGTATGCCGCTTGACAATATATACATCTTCTGGGATTACGTTTCCTCTATATAACTTGTAGAGACCAAACACGGGTACATTAACTGTAACACAGATACAAAACATAACTACTAATAAGCATAATATTCAAAATGACAATTTCTACAAAAGATCTACCCCAATAAACAACACATTTCAAGTGAAGAGAAGGGATTCGGGTCCAGCCTTAATCGTCCACTTCGAGTCTGCAATGATACAGGCATGTCTCAAAATGCAATCTGATTAAAACACACATCCAATTTCGCTTCGCTTTTTATAGTTCAAAATTTTAAACAAATTGCTCAAAAAAAAAAATAATAAATGATTAACATTAATTAATCGATGAAAACGCTTAAAAAAGTCAGTATCCATTTATGGAAGGAGTTCACTATCGTCCAGTCACTATGGTGCACAGATCAGTACAACTAAATATAATAATTTTGACATCAAACGGTGGTGATATACAAAACAGTTGTTATTGTCCCGACCTAATAGCTCACGTATTTATACTTTCTATATAAGATAGAGTGTGGTTTAATTTCTCTTTAGACATCATTCGGAATTCCTAGGCTAATGTGAAGATATCATTTGGAGTTCGTAGATAGGGAGGGAGAGAGAGAGAGGTGGGGTTTAACGTCAACCCGACTGACCTATGTCATTTCGGGACTAACATATGGTTCAATTCTATTTCAATAATTCTTTAGCAGTGTGACTCAATGAAAGACCTTATGATACAACGCACACGCGCTATTCATTCGCTCCCCCTCCCTCCCCGCCAAAAGATTTTTACGCTTACCCATTGTTTGCCAATACACGTGCCGATGGACAAGTATGAAAGATCAAACAGCTCTTTATTTAGTGTTCTTAGTCATTATTTCTGAATTCTTCATTTGTTGTCGTATTTCGACATTTTTGTACACAAAAATTAACATTTGTATCTTCAAATCAACGTTTATATCTTCAAATCAACATTTGTATCTTCAAATCAACATTTATTTTACACATCAGACATTTGTCATATCAGATTTGTAAAACGTATTTTAATCGTATTTTAATATAATATAATAATACAATTTATTTTTGAAAATCCAAAACAACAAAAAACAAATCTTGAACAACAAATTTCTAAATACAAATCTCCAAATACAAATCTTACAAAACATTTCTCAAAAAACATTTCTTCAATAACATTTCTTTTTCCCAAAACATTTCTCGAAATCCATCGAACCGGAATAATGAGCGGAAATCAACCTGGCATACAATAAGTCACCATGCAATAATGGATAAGTGGGCAAGCATATACACAATAAGAAAAATCGGTCGATGACCGCGACTCTAGTGAAACGACGTGTGCATTATGGTTAATCGGACCGGGCCTTCGAGACAGAAAATAAATGGAAAGTAGACTATTTTCAGTAATTTGATTTTGTCTGATAGCGACATATTTCTTTTCTCAAACAAACGTGTGTTTAATCTTTTCTTATTAAAATCATGTAATCATGAATGTGCGAGGGAATATATTGAAAGAGGGTTAAATAAATAAATACTTTCCGCCCATGCATTACACGATAACCCATATTTTAACTTTTAAATACCCCCCCCCCCCCACCGACCCCACTAACTTAATAGTATTTAGCGGTCATCCAACTGTATGCCCTTTTCAAGCTATGTAAATTTAAATGTGCCAGAATATAATTTATATTTCTGAAAAGGTAAATGAAACTTCTTTTCAGTGGTATTCAGTGAGATATCTAGAATGTCGTAGTATGACCCGTATTTTGACATTTAAGACCCCACCCCAAGTCAATTAATAGAGTTTAATAGTATACACCTTTTCAAATTACTTTCTGGCACATTTATATTTATATACCTTGGAAAGAGATCAAAGCTCCATGGTACTAAACTTTATTAAGTGAGGTTTGCGGCGGGATATTACAAGTAAAAATAAAAAAAAGAAACGATCTTAATAAGAAATTCTCGATATCTGTTCATATACAGCTGGTCAGTATGTTTATTGTTTGCTACAAAATGTAAATTATTTTGTTGCACATTTGTAATTACATACCTTCGAAAAAGAACAAATTTGAAATGGCACTAACATGTATTAAATGAGGAGGGGGTGGGGGTATCTAACGTAAAAATACGGGCCAGAACACAAAATACAAGTATTTGTCTATCGCTCTTTGAATATACGAGTATTAGCTATTTCACTGCCACATTCATGATTACATGATTTAGAAGAGATGAAGCCCCTTTCGTTTGTCCAAAGAAATATGTCGCTATCAAATAATAGCTTAATTACTAAAAATAGACTACTTTCAATTTATTTTATTTAATGCTAGATCAGATTAACAATATATATATAACACGCACACGATTTCATATTTCCCTAAAGTTACGGTTATCGAGCGATATTTCTTATTATATATATATATATGTTTGGTCAATTTTCCTTTGTTGTATGGTGACTTATTGTATGCCAGGTTGATTTCCGCGTATGTCGTCACAATGTTCAGGTTCGATGAATTTCGAGAAATGATTTTGGAGAAATGTTTTTGAAGAAATTTTTTTGCAGAAATGTTTTTGAAGAAATTTTTTTGCAGAAATGTTTTTGAAGAAAATGTTTTTGAAGAAAATGTTTTTGTAGAAATGTTTTCCAAGATTTGTATTTGGAGAATTGTATTTAGAAATTTGTTGTTCGTGATTTGTTTTTCATTGTATGTCTATGAAGTAAATGTTGATTATTTTTTGGATTTACTAACATAAAGTTTGTCTTTATATTAAAATAAATTTAAATGAAACAAAAATACATTTTACAAATCTGATATAACAAATGTCTAATTTGAAAAACAAATATTGATTTTGCAATACAAATTATGTTAATTTTAGTGTGTACCAATGTTGAAATACGACAACAAATGAAGAAATAATATTTAAGGACTATGAATTAAGAACTAAGAATTAAGAACACAGAATAAAGAGCTGTTTGGTCTTCCATAGACAAGAACCTAACCGATTATTTCAACTCGAATCTCGCGTGTCGTGGTATGCGTCACTGGAGTGACAGAATAGCCTGTCTATAGATTCGAATATGTCTAAACACGGACGGAGGTCCAGCCCTGTAGAAATTGAGGCAGCACTGGCTAATCTTGCCATCACCTTTTTCACTTTTGACATGTTTACCGGAAACTCTCCCCTGTACCACATTTTGTGACCTTATTCTGACTCGTGTGTTTTCTCCGGGTCCCCCGGCTTTCTCCCACTGCTAAAGACCCCTACAAGCAAGCGAATTATTGAAATAAAATTGAACCATGTGTTAGTCAGGAAATGATCTAGTTTGTGTCGAGTGGGCGTTAAACCCCATTTCTCTCTCTCTCTCTCTCTCTCTCTCTCTCTCTGTTTGTATTCTAGTGTGTATGAAGATTTGACAATCTAAATCCAGAAGAAAAAATAGTTCAAAGATCAACAATAACAATCTGGTACGTACCATTAATTAAGACGAGGACGGCCAGCGGAATAATAAACATCTTTCTTTATCTGTGTTTAGTTGCTGTTAGTCTGTGATTGATATATCCTACCTCTCGACGTTAAGGATGAGATTGGCGTCAGTAGACGGCGAGCAAAATATTCAACATCTGTGTCTAGTTGCGGTTAGTCTGTGATTGATATTATCATATCCTTCGACGTTAGGGACTAGATTAGCTTTCGGCATTGGTTTACATATCCATAATTATAGATTGACAGCTGTCAGCTGGGAATAGGGCCAATATTTGGTATGCTTTTTAATTTCAGCCTAAATACTACATTATTGATGTCCTGGTTTTCAGCGATAAGCCTTTCCCCTTTTTTAGTATATTGGTGGCTTTTGAAGGACAGAAGAAAACAGCAACAGAAAAAAAAAATATATTTTCACGCTACTTATCGATCTACGTAATTCAGTCTTTGTTGTGACTGGTTTATTCTAAATATTACATACACGTGAACACAATACTCATGCTTGATTTATTAACAGAAAATTTGATATTAATACTTTGAATTATTAATACGACGTAAAACAATTAAAAGGTTTAACGATGCATACCATGGACTTTTTGTATGGGATAGTATTTTTATATTCTTCGTATATTTTATATTCTTCGTATCTTTCTAGCAAAATACTGTATTCCCTGAAAAGAAACCAATGAGGACCGAACGCATATGGGATCACTAACTTGCAACCTTTCTTCTTGTTTTTCTGATCGAATGACTAGCAGTTGTGAGAACTGTGAGAAACTTGCAGAGAGAGAGAGAGAGAGAGAGAGAGAGAAAGAGATGAGGTTTAACGTCCACTCGACATATACAAGGTTATTTCGCGACTAACACACGGTTCATTTTTATTTCAATAATTCGCTTGCGCGTAGGGGTGTTTAGCAGTGGGAGGAAACCGGAGTACCCAGAGAAAACCCACGAGGCTGGACAGGCGACCCTACTCCATGTCACGTACAACCAGTGAATCGAAACCCAGCCAGTTGACTCAATGACAGACCGCATGATACAGCGCGCCATATAACCCCCAGAGAAACTTATACAAACGGCAGAAGTTAGCAGACGATAATCCAAGATATTTATGGTCAATGGACAGCAGGTAACAACAAATTTCACGAGCTGTACACGGGCCGTCCCATCACGCCTATATCTACACTAATATTTTATTACAAAAATAAAATAGTTAAGCTTCAATGCAAAAAGACAATTTTCGAGTGGCTAATGAGATTTTCCAAACAGGTAGTTCCCAAAGAGATTTGTGCCAAGTGTGATAATTTTAGTGTATCCAGATTTGAAGGCATACGCTTAATCAAATTTTATCCAGCTTCTTGATGTTAATGTATAGCTTTTAACACATTTCCAGCTTAAAATAATGTTATTAAAGATAGGTTCCCAGAATAATATTTATCGGGGTTATTTCCAATAAAAGTATGCCAATTTTGGTATATACGGAAAGTAGAAATATCCAATCTTACTAGAAAAAATACTGGATGCCATGAAAAACATTCATGGAGCGCATACATGACAAAACAGTAA